CAAATGTATAGGTCAGCGTTTCATCCACGCAGAAGAACTTGGTTCCAGATTTCCATCTTCAGAGGGTAGAGAGCTGGTGGGCTCGGATGGCCGCTACACCGCGTCCCTATTAGGGGGGGGGGAGTTGCCCCCACAATGTCTCTGTCCAGAATTGTTCATGTGCTAGTTAAGTCGTTTCACGCTCAAAATCAATAGGATTTATTTGCTACTCTCTACTGTTTCTTTTTGTTTTCTCCACTTTTGATTCGACTATACACTTTCGTTTATTAAGCCTTCTTTCTACGGTTGATAGTCACGGATTGGCTCTTTGAAATATCGCTGAAATCTAAATAAATCACTTTCGTGCTTCAGGTCCGCCAACTTCTGTTCGATGTTGGGATATGATGACCCGCTTTTCTGCGAGTTAATGAGGCTTTATCTCGTCATCCACTCTGATCACGAAGGTGGTAATGTTTCCGCTCACACATCTCACCTAGTTGGTTCCGCTCTTTCGGACCCTTACCTCTCGTTCTCTGCTGCTATGGCGGGTCTCGCTGGCCCACTGCACGGACTTGCTAATCAGGAGGTAAATATCCGGGCATTTCTATTTGAAAACTTGATGTGAGCTGAAGCGTATGAATCGAAACTGTGCGTTCAGGTCCTTGTCTTCCTCAACAAGATTGTTAGCGAGCTTGGATTTAACTACACTGAAGAGCAGTTAAAGGAGTGGGTGTGGAAACACCTGAAGAGCGGACAGGTACGAAAAGCTCAAGAGTTATTCATATTGAACTTTGCTTGATTTAACTGCTGCTGAGTTAAGGTCGTTCCTGGATATGGTCATGCTGTGCTGCGCAAGACCGATCCTCGTTATGAGTGTCAGCGTCAGTTCGCTATGAAACATCTACCCAAGGATGACTTATTCAAGCTTGTGTCAACTCTTTACAAGATCACTCCCGATATTTTACTTGCCCAGGGCAAGGTATGTTCAGCTTATTACATTCCATAGTTATGGACCGACTATTCCGAATAGGTTATTGATCGTGTTTATTGTAGGCGAAGAACCCATGGCCAAATGTGGACGCACACTCTGGTGTTCTGCTGCAGTACTTTGGCATGAATGAGATGTCGTTCTACACAGTCTTGTTTGGAGTGTCTCGTGCACTTGGATGCCTTTCTCAGCTAATTTGGTCTCGCGGAATGGGCCTGCCGTTGGAAAGACCGAAGTCGCATTCAACAGAAGGACTGATGAAACTTGCTGCAGCTGCAGCTAAAAAGTAGTTTTAGTCTCTTTTGATCTATTAGTTATGGTAGTTAGTTATAGATTTTAACATTTGAAAAGTATCTATGGGTTGAGCCTTTTCTTTATTTGCAATTACTTCCTTTTTATAAGCTTTCATTTTTTCGATATGGATTGAGGAAATTTGTTCTTTAATAATCCATGTGGCATCGATTAATTCTGTTTTGGAGGCTTCTTTATGTTGTTACTGAAGTGTTGGTAATTTCAGTAAAATTTGCTCTTTGAAATGAAATTTATTAATCCACTTTTTTCTTGTTTACAAAGGATTCCGGTGGTTTCCGTTGCCATTGTCTCTATTCCGAATGGTAAGCTAGCTGAGGTTGACAGAGGAACAGAGGTGATATCACTTTGGATACGGGCAGTGAAAGCCTTTTCCCGAACTGCGCCCTAACCTCCGCCTATGCTCGTACATACGTTGTCCGACAGGTGGGGTCTTACATGGGCGTTTTGGATGACTTTATCTATTTTTTTTTCATCACTCGAATCACTAAGTTTTTATCAGTATTAGAGTCGTGCAAGTCACCATTTCAAAAGGGGGAGGGTACCTTTAACCCTTCATCGTGTTTAGAGGCACCCAGATCTTTATTCTAGAGAAGAAAACAGTAATTTAGTAACCCAGTTGGTAGCCCCACCGACAAATCTTTTCTCACTCCTTTATGTTCCGTGAGAGAAAATTCCGCTGGCGCGCAAGAAAAAACGAACTAAGCTTTATTCTTTGAAGGGCAGTCGTGGGTACATAGCTACAGTGGGTTTTCAGAACTTGAAATTGAAGCGGTTAACAGCGGTCTACAAAAGTGGGAAATGCCTGGTTTCATTTCAGCGTGACTTTAAGGGTACTGTTGGGGAAATATGGCGCTGGATTCAAAGATGCTTCATGGTTGGCTCGGTCGGCCAGGTCAAGTTATAAGGGACAAATTTTGGACGACAGCGCCGCAGTCCGAACTGCGCGATGTCCAGTTTCCTTTGACACCAGAACCAAACTGCAAGAGTGAGCCTACGCCGTAAATATTACGCAGCTACTTCAAGGTGACACAGCTACTATGGTAAGCACGCTCTTGAGTTTATCGCCGACACTGGATGGTTTCACGTTCTCATGTAGGTGGAGGGACTGTTTACGTTGAAAAAACATCAAAATGTCCTGTATGTGAAAGTATCATTAGATGTCGCGGAATAAAGTTATAAAGTGACGAAATTTTTGATAAATTCATTAATAAGTGGGCGGCGTGGGGGCGGAGTTAAGTGTAATAAATAGTAAAGGTGTATTCAGGGTCTGTGTGTAATAGATGAAAATTCTGAAAAACTAGTATAACATCTATATATAGTGGAGTATGGTGCTGTCCCGGAGTCTCATTACTCATCTGAATGTGTAATAACAATGTGAAACTCCAAAATTTATTCCAAAAACTCAAAAGACAGCAAAAGTCTCAAAAGTTTTTCAAAATATCTTATCTTGCGATATTTCGGTGCGTAGCACCTTCGTCAGGCCTGAAATTATTTAGCTTGTTATCAGCTGGATATGTACCTACATAAATACAACCCGCACGGACTCCTCCCCCACCAAACCACTTACCCAAATATCCCGGCAAAAAATAGCCAACCCACCCTAACCACACCCTTAAATAGTGGGATGTGACGCGATCACATTATGACTTGCATAATGTCACGTAGTTCCTCCCTATTGTTTATTTCCGGTTGTAGCCGTTTTATTTCCAAGGCCTCCAATATTTTCCTTCCATTCCTGAATTGACAAATTTCTCAAATTCAAAAATTTGTCAATTCAGGGGGACAGTTTATCAGG